AGGATCATCGGATGAGTCCTCCTTTCGAAAGCAAAATACCATCGAGTGTCTATCAATATTATGGCAGATTATTTCGACAACCCAGAACCCTACTTATATATAAGGCATATCATGACCGACTGCACGGTAAAAGATGACGTAGTCGGCCTCATGCCCAGCAACACTTCCTTTGATTTGCCGTCTTCAATACTCTGGGTCAGTCACAGCGCGTTAGCAAAACCTCACGCAAAGAGTCGCTGAAGTCGTTCGGTTTCTTACTGGCCCAGTGCATGCGTGATGTCGCGGGTTGGACACTTTTAGCTTTTATCAGTCCAAATAACCATTCACGGAGCCAAGTTCCATTGTGTCCAGTCCTCTTATTCTCTTCGTCCTAACATATCCAAGCGCCTTGCACATTGATGCAGCGCTCTCTGGTGTTTTCATTCTCACCGTTGCTGAATTCAATCCTATACCTCCTCTCACATAAAAGGTGAGCTACAACCAAAGATTTCGGCCGCAAGGCCAAATCCTGAGCCTGCTAGAAACCACGTTTGCTTCGGTGTGCGTATCAGCGCGCGGCTTTGATGCTCACGCCAGAATAACTATTCCGACGTTTTTCTAATTACTGATTGGAACTGGCTTTGCTTAGCTTTGGCTGTTGTCAATGGCAGAATTAGACGAAGTTTAGATCCGGCAATACAATCGGCCGATTGCCCGACCCACTATTCTTCATAAGGCTAGTTCACACATCTGTGTAGGTTGCGTTCGCAGCAACCGAAACGACAGCACCGACACGGTCGCCGGAACAAGTGTTCGCCGTGCACAACGTTGCAAGCGATACAAGAGGTACACCTTCACGAAGCAATCATCGGTCACGGCTATTCCGGTCTTTGTCGTTTCTGTCGTGCTGGTTGTTGTGAACGCAACCGTTCCAAATGTGTGAACCAACCTACGAGCTCTCATAGCTCTAGAAACATTTTAAATATTTTACGATTCACGTGAGCTGAGGCTCTGTCCAAGAAGGCAACCTGCGATGAAATTCGATTGTGGTATTGGTGTGTGTGTGCGTGAGCGCGCGCGCGTGTGGGATGTATGCGTGAGTAAATGTGGGTGTGTGTGCGCACGTGCGCGTGTATGCGTGGGTGTCTCTGCGCGCGTGTGCGTGGGAGTGTTCCTGTGTGAGTATGTGCGTGTGGGTGTATATCTGTGCGCGTGTGTGCGCGCACGCATGGTGGCCACGTTGCGTGCGTGGGAATGTGCGTGTGTGCGCGCGCGGGTATACTTGGGTATGTCTGTGTGCGTGGGAGTATGTTTAGGCGGGTCTGTGTGCGAGCGTGTAGTCTGTGCGTATGTGCGCGCGAGAGTGTGCGTGCGTGTGTGTGCCTGTGTGTGCGCCCATGCGTGTACGTGCGCCCGTGTGTTTGTGCGCGTGGGAGTGTGTGTGTGCGTGGATTTTGTGTGCGCCAGCGTGTACACCCGCCGGCAATATGAAGGTGAACATCTTACCTGGTTTCTTGCCTGTTTTACGGCGCCCTAAAGCTATATTAACTCTCAACATCTCAAATGGTACGTGACTTGGTGGTCTTAGCTTTGCGTTCTAGCCCTCTTCTGGAACGGAGCTTGTTCCAAAACTTAAAGGAGCGTCAAGGTTTCTTGCCTGTTTTACGGCTCCCTAAAGCTATGTTAACTCTCAACGTCTCAAATGGTACGTGGCTTGGGGGTAAATACTTTGCGTTCTAGCCCGCTTCTGGAACAGAGCTTGTTCCAAAACTTAAAGGAGCGACAAGGTTTCTTGCCTGTTTTACGGCTCCCTAAAGCTATGTTAACTCTCAACGTCTCAAATGGTACGTGGCTTGGGGGTAAATATTTTGCGTTCTAGCTCTCTCCTGGAACAGAGCTTGTTCCAAAACTTGCAGGAGCGTCAAAAACAAGAAGAGGGCTGTTCACCTTCATATCGCTCATGGGTGTACGTGGGTGTGTGTGTGCGCGTGGGAGTGTGCGCCTGTATGTGTGTGTGCGTGGCTTTGTGTGCGCGTGTGTACGTTCGTATACATATATGCGCGTGAGAATGTGCATGTGTGTGTGCGCGCGCGCGTGAAAGTGTGCTTTATGTGTCTGTGCGTGGGTGCATGTGCGCGCGTGCACGTGTTTATATGTGCGCGTGAGAATGCGCGTGCGTGTGTGTGTGTGTGCGCGTGGGAGTGTGCATGTGTGTGTGCGCTCGCGTGCGTGTCTGCGTGTCAGAGATGGAAAACTTAATTTTAATAAGTAATTGCATTACTTTACTATAATTACGTTTCTGAAAACTGCAACAACGAAATTAAATTACATTGCAAATTGCCGCAGTAGTGACATTACATTACAATTATTTTCCAAAAGAAATAAAATTACTTCTACATTACTCTTCAATACCTCGATGTAGTAATTCGTGCTCATTTTATATAGTGTATATGTACCAAAACTCAGATCTTTCTGTTTACACCGTAACAGCCTTATGCGTCTCAAAGTGAACCATATTGAAAAGTCGTCTCGCTGGCACACACGACGTAAGTGTTAAACATGATGAATAGCTTCTTCTTTAGATGTGACTCAAAGATAGTCGACCCACCGGTTTCGCTGTTCATTCAACGGTGAACGTCCTCAGTTAAAGGGTTAATGAAACGATTTTCCTACTTCTTCCTCCTTAGCTTTAATCCTCAACTCAAATGCCAATTGTGAAATCACGTGGTCGTGACATTCCTTCGGAACCGGTGCGATGACTCCTAGGTTCCACCGTGCTTGTTATGCACACCATAGAACTTGTGATTCCCCAGTGACAATGAGTTCCGTCAGGGCACTCATTGGCCACGAACGCCAATCCAAATATTCGTCGACGGATTGATTGTTGACGAGCGCATAGGTCCGAGTGACGCAGTTCTCGTGTCCAATGCGTGAGCTGGGCTCTGCTGACGTCAGTTTGGCGCCGGTGACGCGCTTTTGGAACCGCGGATGTATCATAGTGAAAAGCTGGAGAGCTTTCGAAGGCAAGAAGGTACAAAACAGTGCGCTATATTTTCAAATGTTCGTACCGAAAAGCTGGCTTTTGACTTTCCAGCCTCTTTCTTTTGGCCAACTAAACGATATGCGATTAGTAACGTCCCAATTTAAAATCATTCATCCTAACTCAAAATTCGTTTCATGGCCCCTTTAAAGAGGGATATGTTTCTGTTTTCCTCATCTAAAAGAAGTTATAACCCGTGTCAGTATGTTAAATCGGGCCATGGGAACTTGTTCTTTCAAGAAGTCTTTACGTCAAACTTTTTTTTCCCTCTGATTTCACGACATTTCACGATGCAAAATAATTTTTATATTTTTGAAAACTCGCAATTGAACTTCCTAATTCGGGGCAAACAAACTTCAAAAGTAATGAGTAATTGTTTCTAAATCACCCGCTGAAAGCAATTCATTACATTACTAAATTACCAGCCTAAAACACTAATTCATTACATTACTCATTACTACAAAAACTAATTTAATTGGTGCAATTTAATGACAGTAATGCCATTACTGCCATCTTTGCTGCGTGGTAGTGTGTGGGTGTATGTGTGAGCGCGCGTGTACGTGGGTGTGTGTGTGTGCTTGATAGTGTCTATTGGTTTGCGTGACGGGGGGGAGGGGGGGGAGTGGTGTCTGTGCGTATGTGTACCTTTGCTTCTATGTGTCCGTGTGTGTGCGTACGTCTGCGTGTATGTTTTAGAGGAGGCAAATATTGAACTGGAGAAGTGGATCATCTCCACCACGTGTTATGAACACAGACTGCCTATTTTGGTCACACAGGGTGGATATTCTTAGTTTAGGTACAGTGGCTGCTTTCAATACTTGTTTTTAGGCTGCATGCAAACAGAACGCTTACTAAGTTCCACTTCAAAGACATGTCGCGCTAGAGAGCAGTCACTTTTACACGATAACGACGCGGAAGAACTCCAATCGACAGCCTGAACGAGATTGTGTGCGATGATATCGGAAACGTTTAACCCTAACACCACCGCAATCCGTCGGCGGCTTCGAAGCGTTACCGGCGAACGTGACTCGAAGACGACTCCGGCGATTGGTCTTGCCACTATCGACCGTCCGTCAGGACCCCAAAAGATACGCCTTCCGGAACGAAGCAAGAAGAGCAAGCACTCGCCCGCTTCTTCGGCCCCCGGGCCATCGAGCTCACCCCGCGCTCGCTGCCAAAACGAATAAAGCTAGAGATATTGCACAAGATGCGCTTAGACAAGTAACTCTCCATTCCCTGATCTTCCTATGGGCGCCGCCATTTTGGTCCTTAGTGCAGAGCGGGCGCGAAATCGGCGATTGTTACGACTCCAAAGTGCGACTTTCTGATGATGCAGCGATGTGGAAGCTCGTGCGATATTCTTTTGCTGAGCTGCGAACCGTTTCAACAACTTCGGAGGAGAGGAAAACCCTTTGGTTGCAATTTCAGATAAGGCTTAGAACACTGGCTGAATTTTGAGCACCAACATGGCCGAAGTGTGGTTACTCCGAAGCGTAGGTTATTCAGTGGCTCCAGGGCCAGCAGGGCGGCGGTCCTTGGCCCTCCGCGCAGCGCCGCCGCCGCTGTTCGGAACTCCGGGAGCCTCCGGCAGCGGCGACACGAGGGATGCTGCGGATCGATGGGGGGCGGGCGGACGGCTCGCCGCGGCCGCCGTGAAGCGTGTCCGCGGGGGCGTTGAGAGCGCAGGGGCCGAGCCGGCACTCCGCTGGACTACCTGTGCCTTCGTGTGGGGGTCCGGCTCACGAAGGCAAACTTAGCCCAAGGGAGTCCCGCCCCACAGGTGGTCTCGAAGGCGAGATCCCTCTGAACGGCGGCCATGGCGACGCGAGGCCCGGTGCTCGCGCGCTCCAGAAGCCGGGCGCGGTGATGAAGCCGGCCGGCCGCGACTCGGACCGTCATCGATCGAAAGGAGCAACAGGGTCGCCACGCGCCAGCCCCTTACCTCCGAACCGCGCACGTCGCACACGCCGGCGGCACTCACCCTTGATGAAGTCGACGGCCTGCTCGAGGCCGTACGTGTCCTTGTCGCAGTCGTCGAGGACGTAGGCGCCCAGGTTGAAGCCCGGCAGGATATCCGGCTGCTGATTCACCCAGTCCAGGGTGAAGAGCATGCACTCGAGCGCCTGTATGCCACCCTGCGGCATGATGCGACCGCAGGTGAGCCTGTCCTCGCGCTCGTGCACCATCATCAGGGCGCCCAGCACAACGTCGCCGTCCACGACGACGGCGCGCTTCACGGGCCACGTGAAGTTGAGGGAGGCCGTGGACCCCGGGCCGGGCCCGGCTAGAACCGCGAGCACCAGGAGGAAAAGCCCGGCCTGCTGCCAGGGAAGCGGCCGCCAAGGCGCGGGCCGCGTGAGCGCCCGCTCCATGCGCCTAGCCCCCGGACCGCATCCCGGACCCCACCGTGGACGTCTGGCGGCTGCGCGCCATCTTACGGGCGCGCGCTCCGCGACGGCAGCGACACCGCCGCCGCGCCCTCGGCGCACGCGCGGGACCACCGGCCGCCCACAGCGTCCCCGACCGGGGGTCCGGGACCCAGGATCAAGGACGGGCCGCGGTGCGCTGTGTTGCGACGTGCGCCGCCAACGTCTCCGCGCGATACCCTGTTTCAACTTAACGATGGACCGCGAAGGACACGGCGAACGGCCCGTAGAACTTACGGCGTTCGTTTGAAAGGAAAATCGGCAGATGTCGTTCCGTGTTTATTATTATTTCTCCGTTTTAAATACCGGTGTATTTCGGTGGTCTGTATCGGACCGACGCAAGAAACGACGATGAACGGTGAAAAAAAAACTCACGGAAAAACTGAGAGTTCAATTCAAAAGAGGCGGTAGCACTGCCCATAAATCATACAAAGGTCAGTCTGGAGACTTGTATGACGGATCAAACTGGTCATAAACCCCCGCCTGAAAACAGAATTATCTGCGAATCTGCAGATAATTTTGTTGTCGTGTCTGCACGCCGCGTCTTTTGTACGAGTTATGAGCAATGAGGCTGCGGCTTGAGAGGGCAGTGTTTCGACAAGGAGAGTCCTATCGGGAGCAGAAACTTGGCAAAATCGTTAGCTCGAAGCAATTTTGTATGCTTGACACCAACCGTCGTTATTTATTCGTGTTCTGCGGTTAGTAACCGATGTTTTGTTTTTGACACCGACGGACGTTTATCGGTGTTTTTCGGCTAATACTGGAAGGTCTACGGACGAATTACGAGACATCTAAGCCAATCGAGTGCCGGGTGAGTGTCACGTGACCTAGGAGAAGGGCGCAACGAGGCGTGGTAGGTGTTGGCGGTTACGAGTTTACAAGTAACGCTGTTATCGGTAAAGCGTTACTTCATTCAAAAGTACTCGTTACATTTGTTTTGTCAAGACAGAAACGTATAACGTACCTACGTTACATATTTCGAGTAACGTGTAAAGTAATAACGCAACTCATAAGTCTTCTTCCCAACTCACACGCACAAAAAAAAAAAAGATTTCCATTTTTTTTTTTTTGCGTGTGTTTCTATACTTCGTGTCACTAGTTGTGTGCAGTGCATGCGAAGGCAACGCCAGGAGAAGAGAGAAAGGACGAGCACTAGGAAGGCGGGGCGGGAGAGGAGGGCGATGGAGGACGAGGGGAGAAAGTCAGAGCTCTAGGAACGTTAGAGAGGACAGGAGGTTGCTCTCCTCCTCTTTAGCTTTCCAAGTGCTCGCCTTTTCTCCCCTCGCCCGGCGTTGCCTTCGCCTGTACTGCACGCAGCTAGTGACACGGAGTATAGGTACTAAATTATATAAATGCCTTGTTTTTCTTGTTTTTCTTCGCGTTTTTTTTTTTTCTCGCAAGTATTCGGGAGGAGCCGTAAAAAAGACAAGGCAGTATGTTCAGTATTCGGCTGTATATATAATGTTTCTTCAAAAAATGGTCCGTATGCATACCAGTAGCGTCAAACCGGTAAAACGCTTTAATTCGTAAACATAATGTAGCGTGCGTTACTTTTTATCGGCATCGCGATAACGGCGTTATTATTCCTAGTGAGTTTTAGGAGACCGTTGGATGACTCAAGTCAAGTCAAGTCCAGTCAAAATGTGTTTTTATTTGTACACAAGATGTTAGATAATTACACTTATTCAGACGGGGGTCCCAAAGTTTTCAAAAGAAAACATTTGAAGGGACCCCTTCGTAATGAAGGGTTAGTCAGCGATCGAGTTAACACCATTATATATAAAATTTAAAAAAAAAAATAAAACAACTCCCATAAAGATACCCGATACTCCGCCGCTGCCGTTGCGGCTACATCGTGTCGTTATCGGGTGTGTGGGAGGTATCGGAACGATTTAATAAAACTCTCTATATTGAAGTTTTGTAAAGCGTTTCTTTCATTCGTAAATAGCGAATAACGTATTTCTTTCCGTTCTTTTATCATTTTTGGCAATGCCTAGGTACACATTGCGCGTGGTCACGTGACACGTTCGCAGCCGTGGACTGGCTGGCATGGCTCCTATAGCGTCCACAGTGGTCCATCGCATGGGGAAACGGAGTGTCCACGCTCGAAACCGGCACTGCTCCCACGCATCGGCGAACAAAGGGGCTCTTCGGGAGCAGAGGGAGGGAGCCCCGGGCCTATATGGCTTCGTTTTAGGCCAGCCGCGAGAAAGACCACTCCAGCGGTCGTGTGCCACCGTGTATTTCTTTCTCTTTTTTCTATCTTTCCCTCTATTTCTTTTTTTTTTATTATTGTCTTCGCACCCAATGTAGTGCGGCACACAAAGGCTCCAGTTTTTCTTCGACAAAATACCGTTCTGACTGTTTCTTCTATACCGTTTCAGCGCGGGGCATCGATCCATCGATTCATGTCCATAAGATAAAAGGGGGACGCGTTTTTCGGACGTCGATCCGGGGCAGCGACGTCCGTGACGTCTCTGCCGGAAACGTAAAAACTAGCAGAACTATATATATATATATATATACAACACGGGCACTTCACACCATCGTACGTGGTCTCCGAGGAGGATATAAACGAATATGTGCAGATGAATGAACCGTACTTAATCCAATGAATAAAAAAATCAAGGTTTTCAGGAACCCACCGAAAGCCAAAAAACGGCAGAGCCAGGATTTGAACTCTGGGCCTCCCAATGTCCGGTGGTGTAGAGGTTAGCACACCCGACCGGACATTGGGAGGCCCAGAGATCAAATCCTGGCTCCGCCGTTTTTTGGCTTTCGGCGGGTTCCTGAAAAGTTTGATTCTTTGATTCATTGGATTAAGTACGGTTCATTCATCTGCACATATTCGTTTATATCCTCCTCGGAGACCACGTACGATGGTGTGAAGTGCCCGTGTTGTATATTCAATAACGTGGCTCTTGATTCTCGCAGATGATGATGATACCGTGTCTCTAAAAGCTCATAAAAAAAAAAGAATACTACATGTACACGGGACGAGACAAACAGTGGGAGGATTTCTAGAGCACAAACGAGCACGTACCACGTGACACTAAGCGTCGTACCGCGTTCCACGCGGCGGCGTGTGTTTCCAGAACACCTCCGATTGGATACAGTTCGTTTCTTGTGCATTAATAAGACAGGTAGGAAACGCCAGAAAGCCAAGGTGGAGTGGTGGGTTAGTAAGTAAAGCGGGCTTTTTGCTTGTCCTCAGTCAAAATTAATTCTAGGGACCCGGGTTCGTCCCGGGTACCGAAACACGCGCAACGTGGCTCTTCGTGAGCGAAGCAAGATGAGCTCGAAGGAGAGCAGTTCGACGGCACTTGGTGACCGGGTTTCTCAACGGGCAGCGGAAAGCTCCCAAGAGTATAGGATCATCCTTCCTCGTCTACCTTCAGGCATGCTTGTTACTAATTCTTTATTTCTTCATGCTGATATGACCGGACGACCGTACAAAGCAACAGACTTCAAGGATGTGCTTTTTCCGATCATTGATCGGAAAGACCTAATAGGTTTGGGCCCATACCAAATGAACCACGTTTGGATGGCAGTCTTTGCAAATGGAGCAGCCAAACTCAAGATCAAGGCATGTGAGGAGCTACTCGTGAAACAGAAAAGATGCCTTATAATCGACTCCTGCAAGGAAGAGATAAAGCTGAAGCTTCTATGGCTTCCAATTCCTCTGCCAGACAGCGAAATCAAGAAAGTCCTTGAGCCGTTTGGCACGGTCAAGGACATCAAAAGAGAGAGGTGGCGGTTTTCAGACCTTGAAGAAACCGAAACGCTGACACGTGTGGTGACACTGGTCCTAAAAGAACACCTCACGGTGGACAAGGTACCGCATGCTCTGACCATCTTTGGGGTGAACACGCTGGTGGTCATCCCTGGAAGACCTCCCCTCTGTCTACGATGTAAATCCATCGGTCATATTTGCAGACAGTGTCGCACCCCACAATGCCATAACTGCTGGCGTTATGGGCACGAGAGCGAGGAATGCGTGGTTACGTATGCGTCGAAGCTTTTAGGAAAGTCATCGCCGGAAGCTGACGACAACGAACACATCATGGACGTAGAAGAGATATGCAACAACGATGATTGCTCCACTCAAGACCGTCCTGACACGCACTGGGAGGTTACTATGTCCGATGCTGAGGTTTCAGAACATCTATCTGGAGAACAGACTCCTAACGTCGATAAGGAAGCATGCCCGGTGCAGGGGTTACAAGCAAGCTTCGACGACGAAGTCCCACCTAAGAAGAGTGAGGACGCCAGAAAACAACCGTACAACCACCAAAAACACCAGAGACTGAGACGAAAGATGACCGGGTATGCAAAAAACCCAAACTGACGGCAACTGAACGACATACTCTTGCCGAGTCTGGAACACCCGTTGTTGACTTGTCAGTAACACAAGAGCCACAGACAAGCTTGAACCTACAAGAACAAAGAGGAAAGATCGAGCGAAAACAAGTCTAGCCCGGCCGGAAACTAACCCTAAACACGACTAGACTAATTGGTGGCACCGCCCAGGCAAGCCCATTTAGTATTTAATTCTACCCTCAATGTCCGGGTAATCAACTCAACCAAAAAACAGTACAAACTTTTTCGCCTTCTAGAGACCTATGACTGTGACATAGTAACCCTGCAAGAAACTAAAGTTTCAGAGAAAAATTCCTTGTTTTCGGCTAATAGTGTATGGATGAATTGCTATGATATATTCCACTGTCCAGCAATTGATTATTCGACCGGGTGTGCTATTTTGTTTAAAAAAGACCTCCAGTACAGAATGTGCAGCGTACTTGAAAGCGCACATGCCGGTAGAGCTGTGGTCGCTGACGTGCTTATTTACAACCTTCCTTGGCGCATCATTGTAGTGTATGCCTACAATGATGTGAAGCAGAGAGAATTATTATTTAGTCAAGTGCGAATACATGCTGACACTAGGTTTAACGTAATTCTACTAGGTGATTTTAACTGTGTCTTGA